CAACGATCTGGGTCCCAGGCATCCGTCCTACTCGTGTAGTGTAACAACGATCTATGTCCCAGGTGTCCGTCCTACTGATGTAGTGTAACAACGATCTAGGTCCCAGGTAACCGTCCTACTCGTGTAGTGTAACAACGATCTAGGTCCCAGGCATCCGTCCTACTCGTGTAGTGTAACAGCGATCTAGGTCCCAGGTGTCCGTCCTACTGATGTAGTGTAACAACGATCTAGGTCCCAGGCATCCGTCCTACTCGTGTAGTGTAACAACGATCTAGGTCCCAGGCATCCGTCCTACTCGTGTAGTGTAACAACGATCTAGGTCCCAGGTGTCCGTCCTACTCGTGTAGTGTAACAACGATCTATGTCCCAGGTGTCCGTCCTACTGATGTAGTGTAACAACGATCTAGGTCCCAGGTAATCGTCCTACTCGTGTAGTGTAACAACGTTCTAGGTCCCAGGCATCCGTCCTACTCGTGTAGTGTAACAACGATCTAGGTCCCAGGCATCCGTCCTACTCGTGTAGTGTAACAACGATCTATGTCCCAGGTGTCCGTCCTACTTATGTAGTGTAACAACGATCTAGGTCCCAGGTAACCGTCCTACTCGTGTAGTGTAACAACGATCTAGGTCCCAGGCATCCGTCCTACTCGTGTAGTGTAACAGCGATCTAGGTCCCAGGTGTCCGTCCTACTCGTGTAGTGTAACAACGATCTAGTCCCAGGCATCCGTCCTACTCGTGTAGTGTAACAACGATCTAGGTCCCAGGCATCCGTCCTACTCGTGTAGTGTAACAACGATCTATGTCCCAGGTGTCCGTCCTACTCGTGTAGTGTAACAACGATCTAGGTCCCAGGTGTCCGTCCTACTCATGTAGTGTAACAACGATCTAGGTCCCAGGCATCCGTCCTACTCGTGAAGTGGAACAACGGTTCAGGTCTCAAGCATTTTCTGAGGCATACTTGCTGCACGAGTAATGGAACAAAACACTGGGTCCAGTATGGTGTAGTCATTTTATGTGTCTTCGCGGGCGCCTCCGTGATAGATAAGGCGTCTGCCCAGAAAGCGGAATGTCGGTGGTTCGAACCCTTGACCTCGTCAAACCAAAACACGTTAGAGGGCATTGAGGTGATAAAAGAAGGCCTAGGACTAGGACTAGGACTGGTCGGCTCGGAGACAGAATAATGTGTGGGCTCGCCATATTAAACTGCAGCATGACTCAACTCAGCTGAAACAATATCTTAATAACAACCCTTGTTTTACTCCACTCGACCATGAATCAGGAAAGTACTCGATTCTTATTGGTCAATCAGAGGTTATCAAATCACACTAAACCCACTCTGATTGCAACAGTCGAGATGCCGACCGCATCATCGAGGAAGCTGAAGGGTACTTCTTTTTCAGTCATTGTCAGTAGGCATTCATTAATAATTATATCTACAATTATATGCTACTTAATTGCAGCCAGTACAATATTCAAAGTATGTGTGGGAAATACAGTTTGCATAAATAAACACAATTGAAATTCACAGAAAGAATGTATTTCAATTTTGTTGGATAAAAGAGAGGTTGACATCTTTTATATAAAACAGAACATAATTTATTTGTATTGCCTTGCCATGAGTCCAATGTTACAGATGAACAGATAACATAGGCACATCGTGATTGACCGAGCGCTTCAATTGCCACTGCTTTGGAAGTTCCAAATCTAAACGTTTTTGAAGATATGGAGCTGTGTCATTTGTTGCATGTAAAGATGCATGATGGAATATTCATAATGCTACAAGGAAAATTATCTTGATATTAAGTTAGTTTTAACAGAAGTTTTAGAGAAGTGGCTTGAGTTGTCATTCACACTGGACACCACATTTCCGCACCATATAGCACAATAGGTAAAAATGTGTGACGTGGGTTTAGTGTTCTGTATATATGAAATGTGTTTAAACTAATGCGTATGCTTGGTGTGAATTATGATGTAATACTAAGAGTTACCGCCTTCGTTCAAGTGTGCGTGACTCTGTCAGCCTACACTCCTGACTGAGCATCTCGACTAACTGTACGACACCACGTCAGCAAATGTGTCAATCATTCTTTACCCATCCTGGGAATCCGAGTTCGATGTTTTTCCCCAGGAGCCTTTGCCGGTCACAAGAAGTGACAAACTGGATCATGTGGTCAGGCTCAGTGAGTTGATTGACAGCCTGTCCTGGTAACCCGTCGGCTTGGATCCATAACTGTGTTGTATTGTCCAGACACGAGCATTTACAGACCATCGTCATATTGCAGGAATATTGCTGCGTGCGGCGTTACAAAAGAAATACAAATATTTTTCATCACTACCTTTCCTTGTACTCGCTTTGTAATCTGTTACGACAGAAACCCGTGGCAGATCCGGGGTAGAATAGGTCTTCAGCAACCCATGCTTGGCGTGAAAAACGGCTAGGTTTGTCGTGAGACGACAAACGGGATCGTGTGGTCATGCACGCGGACTTTTTTTATGCATGTCATCGTATCCCAATTGCGTGGATCGATGCTCATGATGTCAATCATTGGATTGTCTGATCCAGACTCGATTATTTACAGACCGCCGTCAAATAGCTGGAATATTGGCGAGTGCGGCGTTAATAAAAAATAATGTTACGGCAGATATTCGAGATTAATTCTTATCTGGCGTTGACGGCTCTGACGTTTTGAATTTACCCAGCATGCTCTCCTGTGCACATTTCATGGCTTTGATTGCTCCTGTGAATACATCTTGTATCCTTTATATTACGTGCATTTGGCCCGTGGCCTCACAGTGTGACTGTGATTTGTAGCAACGTCAACACAACTACGCACGGACAATATTTGTTCTATTTTATTTCGTGTTATCTACAATAGTTATGGTGTACATTTCACAGTACAAATAAGACGATTGGAGCTGTAATCAGTTTGCTTGACCTGTATTAACGTTTAGAAAACTTATTTTATTACCTAAGTGGTGAAGATACAGGTGGTAAGATACTAAATCCATACGTCACACCTGTGTCGTTCAAGGTTGACCTCGTTCTATTCGTTTTGATTGGATAACTGTGACCGTTTTGATTGGATAACTCGTGAACTTTCTATGGTATTTGACCTCGCTTTTGTTTGGTCAGATTCCATAGAAAGTCCACTCGTTTCGTTAAAATGGTATCTAACGAGAATGAGTGTAGTATTCGGTATTTATCCCAAGGAAACCTTACAAACCTGCTTATTAAGTACAGATCAGACAGGCATTTGATGGAAGCACTTGTAAATATAACTACCACATCGTTCAGATTTGGGGAATGTTTTGTGTAAGTGAGATTGATGAAGCAGGTGGTGGTATATGTCATTTCCTATGATCAATACATACTCATGTTGACATGACCTCGGTGAATGGTGTTAATGTATCTTTCAAAACAGTCTGGCCAATTATGTCAAGGGGAGCTGTTTGTTTGGATACTTGTGTTTATTTCTACAACACTTTCCCTTAATGGATGTGTCAATCAACTCACCAAACACATGAAGGATGAATCCCTAGTGTGTTTCCAGTTAGCTGTGAACCATCGTGTAATCTGCAATCTTTGTGAAAGAGGCGACATTGGAGATGAATTCCACTATCTTTTATGTGCCCCGTATTTGTAATAGACGCAAATATCTCTCATCCGACTTTTACAAAGGTGGAAAAATGCTTCGGATGTATAACCTTGTCCACGAAAATATAAACGGAATGTTTCTAGGGGTTCGGTCCTGCCCCACGCTGAAACACGTTTTGCATGTGCTGTCTCCGTAGGCAAGTGACTATTCGAAATATGCCCAGCAGTGGATATGATGGCACACTGAAACACGTTTTGCATGTGATGTCTCCGTAGGCAAGTAACTATTCGAAATATGCCCAGCAGTGGATATGATGACATGGTGATGTGACGATGAACCAATATAATTAAAATCTGATATTTTACTCCGACACGATACCTATCCGCATCAAAGTCTGAAAACCCATTTGGTTAATTTCTTTACTACCTGGATTCGGACATATCTCTTTAACAAAAGAAAACCCACACAAAACAAAAATAAACCATAGATGGTAATCTAGTTTCTGTGGAGGTGCATTGGAATGAACAGAATAAATACCCACAATAATATATTGACGCGGCCTTTATCAGTTACATTGGGAACAGGCCGATTTGAATTCATGTTCGAGAAACACTAAGATATGTGAGTCTGAAACCTTCGCTCCCTCGTACTAACAATTTTGAAACCTCGACGCGGATTGGCCGATTCGAAAGTTCACCCGACGCGACCTCCTTATGGAGGTGTTCTCACATCTTCACGCAGAGAGGTATCGTATCGGAATAAAAGATCAGATTCTTTAGAATTTGGCTGTTAACCATTTAGCGCCTCATAAGGCAGCTTCAGTTATATACTCCCATTGGAGCCGACAATGAATGTCCAGTGCACACTGGTTGATTGTAATAAGGTAGCGCACTGAGCATGCTTCAAATATCGCGGCGTGTCAGCTTAATGTGGGAGGAAAGCCCGAAGTGATGCAGGTCTCAGACGTTTACCACTTCGGTGAAACCCACGAGCACGGGTATGGTGCTGACAAACCTAGAAACATAATCGGGGCGAACCGGGATTCGAACCCACAATCATAGGTTTCTGGCCTGCCCAAGGGACGCAACTCTGCACAGCGAATCGCGGCGCCTTAGACGACTGGGCCACCCGTGCCCCCTGACGCATTATTAATTCACACATTATCACACATATACACATATATTATGCATGCGTTATTACACCCATGTAACACTTATAGCGCTCATAGAGACCTGAGTGTAATGAAGGTGTGTTTTAAGGATTTAATTCGGTAATTCGGTGTCTACCACACACGCCCACCCATGTCGAGATAAAGAACACAGGCGTTGTCAAAATAAGATCGCTTTGTGAAGCCCGGCTGTAGTTGGTCAAATCGGGTTGATGATAGTCTACAAAAAACAACATTTGGAAAAGTATAATATTTATCTGAAATAGTACATTTTCACAAATACTTCATACATCAGAACATGTGATGGTGTCAGCACAAGTAACGCCACCACTCCTCTAGTCTATACTATAACGTCCAGGTACTTGACGTCAAGCCGGAGGTATATCGCCGTTATATGGTCATCACACAAGGTGGGATGTGGGACAATATGTACAATGCTCAGTGATACAGAGACACGTGATGCAGCTGATTGAGAAAATCAGTTAAAACACGTCCATTCCTGGCTCGTGATTATGAATGAGAGGGTGAGTGAGTGAATGTCGTTCTACGCCGATTTTAGCAACAGTTCAACCATATAAGGGCGGGGGAACCAGGAATGGTTTTCACACAATAACAACCGTGTGGGGAATCGAACCCAGTTTGTCGGCGTGGCAAGCAAACGTAAGGCAAGACTGGCAACACCACCACGCCTTCGTCATTATGAGCATGTCTGTTCTAGTCACTATACCAGCTCTATGACGGCGCGTGATACTGCTATGGACATTAGGCATCGACCATTTAGTATTCTTGGGCAGGCAAGGAATATTCCGTCAGACACAGGATACTTTTGGGGTGACTGCTTCAAAACTTACAATGTTATACTCTGAAATGGGGAGCCGAACACCTTTCCTTTCACAACACGCTATGTTCGGAAATGAAGCATTTTCAGCCAATAACCTTTTCATTATTAATATTTTTTCAGTATTTTCAAAACGGTCCAATCCCTTCCCGGCCTCTCCTAGAATATCAGAAGGTCGTCCCAAGCTCCCGGTCATACTCAGTACTCAATATTTTACTAAAATACACCAACTCAAAATACAAGAGTGGCAGACTGTTGTTTGTTTTTACAACGGGTACAGCCATTCCCTCTTAAAACACGTCTTCACCTCCACAAGCAACGGCGTACATGGCCTATGCAACAGTTTGTTCAAACTTTGTCGTGATGAGCCGTTGCTAACCTATATGCAATATGGATTAATGGATTAAATCATTGCTGATTTAGTCAGTGGTCAATTAGTCATCACAGACAGTGGTGAGTTGCTTTAGTTTTTGTTTGTCTTTGTTTGTTATTTTACGCCGCACTCAGCAATATTCCAGCTATATGACGGCGGTCTGTAAATAATCATGTCTGGACCAGACAATCCAGTGATTGACATCATGAGAATCGATCGACGTAATTGGGATCGATGACATGCATCAACCAAGTCAGCGAGACTGACCACCCGATCCCGTTAGTCGCCTCTTACGACAAGCATAGTCGCCTTTTACAGCAAGAATGGGTTGCTGAAGACCTATTCTACCCCGGATCTTCACGGGTGGAATTGCATTATTCATCAACAACAGTGTGATATAATCGTCATAGACAGTTATGATTTTGTCATTGACATCATTGATGATTTCACAAGAACAGACAAGTATAATAAACAGCAGTCCAAACCTCATAAAGATTACCACGGAACACAAAAGGCACATCGAGAAGTCGCAAAGCAACGGACCCTTACGACAAGCAAAAGCTGAACATTGATACAGGGTCGAAAAATCAGTATGACACACATATGAGTCCTAATTTCTTTATTACCTATTATTTCTTAATCGTTTTGAGCTCCCCTTTAGAAAAAACTACACCGATCACCACTGTTCTCCTAGAAAAACACAACAGAAAAAACGTCATCAATATTCAGCTATGACGTCATTTCTAGTGTGACGTCATTCCGACATTACGTCACAATAAGATTCGAATGACGTCAACAATGCCGTTTAGCTGACTGAAGCAATACACTGGTGCGCGAGAAGTGGTATTTGCGCTGGTGCACATACGATGTTTAAGACCTCGTTTGTTTCTCACCCAAAGGGTAATAAACCTAAATATGGATGGATACAGCATTGATGGTTGCTAAGTTATACACAAAGGGAACCGATGCATCATAGAGTAGCCCTGAAGTCATACATGGAGCGTGGAGATGTCACTGATTTCGTGTTGTTGTTTACTGTTTGTGTTCATGATTAAAGAAGCAGCCTGTGAAGTTCCTTTTGCTAACTTGTTTATTTAAAAAAAATTCACTTCAATATTTACCCAGGGTACACACTGGTGTTAACGTGTATGCCTCCATAAACGCAAAACGTTTTGAAGTCAATTCCTAAATATCCTTATATACATTAACATGTTAGCGTTATTAACATAATTGTCGGGAAAACAGGGGTTCGGGAAATGGAGTGTGAAATGCACTTCTATTCATCGGACACCACACGTGGTACTTGATATCCAAGAACAATCCAAAAATCCCAACTTCAAGATTTGGATATCTTATCACTTCATGTGTAAGAAGACACTACATCAAATTTTAATCTCAAGAAAAACAAACATTATTTCGTTGCAAAAATGAAAACGACGTTTGATAACAATGGCCTTATATGGTGTGTTGCATAGTAATGTTTGGTATCATTTTCGACATGTCAGCAGTCAGGCCCTCGACATGTCATTTAGCTGACCCTCTGGCCATGCGTCTGTGATCTCTCGCAGACACAGCACCGCTAGAGGGCAGTCACAGGATGGACGTCATGAGTTGTGAGCAAATTGATTCATTCTGATTCATTGATTCCATTGTCTTGTCTATCAAGAATGTGTTTCAAGCAACACGGATATTATTGAAATAGAAACAAAAAATAGTATTGTCGATGAAGTCAAAGGTTGAGCCCCGTTATAAGGCGATACCGTTTTGATCGATGTGTATCGTGCTGCGCACATCTTCTGCGCACCTTCACCCAGAATGCCCCCTCTGTACCGTTTGTCGCAGTAGCCATTGTCAAACCTGCCCTCACAGTCACACGTAAACAGTGCATTCAGGAACTTAAATCCTATCGATGTGTGGCGAAACTTGGATATGATATAGCTGCCGATATCTCCCGACAGACAGGGGTGTTTCCGAGCTGCTTCTATGGCACTTAAACAACTATCCGTGCAGCTGTTTTCTCCTGTTGCGATGTCAAAGCAATGACCAAGCACTGACGTGAATATGTTTATGGTATCTTGATTGGTTGCTTGGAGGAAGGCCAGCCAAAAACAGCCGTCGATGGAGTTATTCCGGAACTTGGGAAGGTATCGGTCACACTTCTGGACCGACTTCCTCGCGGTGCACCATGGGATGGGAAGATTTTGTTTGGGGTAATACGTTATGAATCCGTAGCACATCTCGTCCTGTGTTCCATCGCCAAAACACATCGGGTTGCCGGACGTTGGTGTTTTGTAGACACAGGTTGTCCGTATCTCGTCGCCCGGACGTACCTCGACGGGAGGATTGAACCTGAGGGTTAGAAAAATAAACATATATATACCAGGACGTAATGTTTACAAATCATTTCGATGTCAATAGGATCAATCCTACAGTCATCTTGAAAAGGGGTCCTCTTGAAATGAGGGAATATTGCATATTATCATTCCTGCTGATATGAAACTGTGTGTGGAGTGAATATGGTTTTACGCCAACATCACGACAGGGGACACCAGAAATGGGCTTACACATTGTACCCACTTGGGATGTCGAATCCGGGTCTTCGGCGTGACGATCGAAATCTACAACCACTATGTTACCAAATCGCCCCTCCTGATATCCAAGAGCAGCGTAGGTCTCCAATTACAATGCTTGTCGGAAGAACCGTCATGGTTTATGACCCGTGAAGATCCAGGGTAGAATAGGTCTTCACCACCCCTTGCTTGCCGTCCAAGGCGCCTACGCGTGTCGTAAGAGGCGACTAATGGGATCGTGTGGTCAGGCTTGATGACTTGGTTGATGCATGTCATCGTATCCCAATTGCGTGGATGGATGCTCATGATTTCAGTCAACCGCCGTCATATAGCTGGAATATTGCTGAGTGCGGCGTTAAACAATAAACAAAACAAAATAATCCAATGTACTGATTGTGTGCCTTTGTTCCCCAATGGACCTTTGCTCACGCTATCGACCGTCGATAGCCTGGCCCAGACTCGATTAGTTATAGGCAGGAGTGATAAATACTCACAGCCCAAATTTAAGCAGATCGGATTAACCAAAAATATAGAAACATTTGCACAATAACAAACAAGTGTTGTATGCAAAGTTAATTGTTCATGATCCAACAACTGACCAATAAATATTAAAACATTGTCTAGTCATACCAGATCACCGTGTTATAAAACGAAAAGGCGCCAATTGGAAGCCGTTACATTTTAAGTCTGATTATAAGCTAAATTGCGACGAGTGGGAAAGGTTGGCCAGACTAGAAGACGTGGTCGATACATGTCAGCGTATCCCAGTTGCGTAGATGGATGTTTATGATGTAAGTCACTGGATTGTGTAGTCCAGACTCGATCATTTAGGGACCGCGGTCATATAGCTGAAATATTGCTAAGTGTGGCGTTAAACTACAAACAAACCAACTGGACTGTCTAACTGCTTGAGAGTGACACACGCAACAGGTCCATCACGGAGTTTAAACTGGGTTTAACAAACATTGATGACTGTCACTTGACTCAGTACTAACGGCAAGTGGTCGTACATGTATATAACACTGCTGGATACCCAATGGTTTGGATAGCATGATACGATAGGCTTAGACAGGTAAACAGTCCAGAACCACAAAAATAAATGATCATAAATATCACCTTGAAGACATCACATCAGCCCGAAGCCATAACTTGAACGACGTCATATGACAATGTAATTGTGCGTTTCTGCCACGTGTTCGACAATCGGGATTAGAGTCAATATTATTTTAACAAAATATACACGTGTGCATATCTAGATCCCACCGGGGTTATATTTTTACAAATATGCTGATAGATGTCCACGTAGAATACCCAATTGATAAAGCTACTCAGAGCAGTTTCCCAATGTTTTATTAACCACTGAGTACTGAAAAGTTACGGGTCGGTGTCATGGCTCCCGTCTTATAATTAGACGCCTGCCATTTTAGTCAATCCCACGAACACAAGCATGGCGCTAACAGGCCATGGATCATGAGTAGAACAACTCTGATTCGAAACTACCACAGCGACATCCTGAAACGACTGAGGGGCGCAACTCTGCTCAGTGAAATGTAGCGCTGCAGACCAGTCTTGCTCTATCAGCCTCAATGCAGTCTCATAAAATACCGCGACTTCATGGACGTCATGAGTTCAAAATAATAGGTTACAAAGTTCACAAAGTGTCCTTGAGGCTTCTGCTTCAGGTTGAACTTGAGAAGCGTATTAAATGTGGGGAAACCGTTTCGTGGGCATTTTTGTTATAAAGCAAAGTCATCGTACGTTCTTTGGCCAGCAGTTCTCAGTATCCAGGGCGATCTACATCCAGACACTTCGAACACTGTGGTGCTGGTGTCATCTTCCTCGAAAACACGATCAATACGGTTACAATTTTCCATTAAAATGTCATAAGAACTCACGAGTAGATGACTGGGTTGTCGTAGTGGTAGAACCTGTCGTAAGTGATGTCGCGCACCTTGCTGCCGTTCCGGTAGAGCTCAATCCTCTGACTCACACCTGCAGCAACAATATCAAACAATTTAGTTGTAAAAGATAAATTTCCTCAAAAGCATGTAAATAAATATCTTCTTAAGACTGTCACATGTACATGATAAGAGTAGAGAGTGATGTTTTGTTTTAAAGAAATTCTTACGTAGGCATAGGTGAATGAACTGCGTAAAGAGTACGTAAGAGAGTTAAGAATTATCCCCATTATAAAGTAGCACAAAATACCTTACATCGTATTTGCATGTGTTGATGGTTGTAGTAAAATTGGTACTTTCATTGTTAATATTTCACATTTAATATGTCTCCGGTTACTTACCCCGATAGTGCATGCGTTACATTTGCAGTGATGAATGAGTATTCCCATCCGTGCACCCTGATACCTATCCCGATAGTGCATGCGTGACAGTTGCAGTGATGAATGAGGATTACCATCCATGCACCCTGCTACCTACCCCGATAGTGCATGCGTTACATTTGCAGCGATCAATGAGGATTACCATCCTTGCACCCTGCTACCTACCCCGATAGTGCATGCGTAACAGTTGCAGTTATGAATGAGGATTACCATCTGTGCACCCTGCTACCTACCCCGATAGTGCATGCGTGGCAGTTGCAGTGATGAATGAGGATTACCATCCGTGCACCCTGCTACCTACCCCGATAGTGCATGCTTGACAGTTGCAGTGATGAATGAGGATTCCCATCCGTACACCCTGCTACCTACCCCGATAGTGCATGCGTGACAGTTGCAGTGATGAATGAGGATTCCCATCCGTGCACCCTGCTACCTACCCCGATAGTGCATGCATGACAGTTGCGGTGATGAATGAGGATTCCCATCCGGGCACCCTGCTACCTACCCCGATAGTGCATGCGTGACAGTTGCAGTGATGAATGAGGATTCCCATCCGTACACCCTGCTACCTACCCCGATAGTGCATGCTTGACAGTTGCAGTGATGAATGAGGATTCCCCTCCGTGCACCCTCCTACCTACCCGATAGTACATGCGTGACAGTTGCAGTGATGAATGAGGATTACCATCCGGGCAACCTGCTACCTACCCCGATAGTGCATGCGTGACAGTTGCAGTGATGAATGAGGATTACCATCCGGGCAACCTGCTACCTACCCCGATAGTGCATGTGGTTGATAGTGGCAGTGATGAAGATGGGCTCCGTCAGCATCTCTCGGGTACATCGCCCGGGGCAGGACTGTGAGAAAGTGACCAGTGGGGAGGGGGCAGGCTGTGGGGTGATCTCCAGGTACTCCTGGCCAACCAGCAACATCCCTGCGTCGTAACTTCGCCGTGAGGGTGTGAAGTACATCTTGAGCCCAGATGCATCTGTCGCGTTTGCTAGCAACCTGGGGTTGTTCCAGTGGATCTGAGATTGCAATCATGTTACAGGTAGTGCATGGAGAATGATGATTTGGCAACAATGAACTACAAAGGTCCAACAAACATTAATTTTGTTTTCTTTGTTTGGTTGTTGTTTAACGTCGCACTCAACAATATTCAAGTTATATGACGGCGGTCTGTAAATAATCGAGTCTGGAACAGACAATCCAGTAATTGACATCATGAGCATCGATCCACGCAATTGGGATACGATGACATGCATCAACCAAGTCAGCGAGTCTGACCTGCCGATCCCGTTAGTCGCCTTTTACGACAAGCATAGTCGCCTTTTACGACAAGCATGGGTTGCTGAAGACCTATTCTACCCCGGATCTTCACGGGTCCAACAAACATTTAATCGCATCCTGTGACACCTGTGTGTATGATTCATAGCCTTAACATCGTTTTGTAAATAACTTTCTACCCTGCCTGGTGCTCGGTATTAAGGCTTGTTCGTTTGTTTAGTATCCATCGCCGCACTCAGCAATATGTCAGCTATATGGAGGCTGGACCAGACAATCCTGTGATTGACATGATGAGCATTGATCCACGCATTAGTCGAGACGAGTACAAGCAGCCCCCCGCCCCCCACCACACACACACACGTACATGCACGTCGCTATTTTTAAATGGAATCTTTGACGCAAGGTTAAACCCCATTTCACCTGACATGTAAATGTAAGTCTACACATACATGTATATTAAAATTGTACAAGGAATGATTAAACTTGCAAAACACAGGTCTAAGCATTAAGGATGTGATGTTCATCTGTCCGGTTTTGACAGGTTCCATTGTATCAGTATTTGCCGTATGACACGCCATGAAGAAATAAGACGACATCCTCACCTGTAGAGCAGCCTTCCTGTAGCCCGTCTTTCCAATGCTGAAACCCACGTTGTTATGGAGACAGTCTCCTTGACTACCAACTGTCCACGTGCCTATGATGTCCAGGCAACTACGGTGCGCCAACATGGCACACATGAACGGTTCGGGCGTGGCTTCGACATCACTATCTGTGAGAACAAAATCAAACATTAGGCGACACCCGTCATACCATCTATTTGGTATACCAATATTTGTACAAGTATCACTTGTTCCCAACTTGTATTTGTATTTACATGGTTCAAATAAAACTGTTTTCCATAAAATATCCGGGTGGGACAATGTATGGATCAATGCTTATGATGTCAATCGCTGGATTGTCTAGTCTGGACTCGATTATAATTATATAATTATTCGATCTTGTGGTCAGGCTCAGTGACTTAGTTGATAGCATGTCCTGGTACCCCGTCGGCGTGGATCACTGTATTGTACGGTCCAGATTCGAGCATTTACAGACCACCGTCATAACGCTGGAATATTGATGTATAGTGCGGCGTTGTACCACAAACACACAAACTGGACTGTTTAACTCTTGAGAGTAACCTGGTTAATAATTATATAATCTATCCATTGACTGATGTGCTGTGCATGCTCCAGCTGCCCTGTAAATAAGCTGGTTACATTTAAAGGTGTATGCCGCACTAATATAAGTGAGTGAGTATGGTTTGACGCCGCTTTTAGCAATATTCCAGCAATATAACGGCGGGGGACACAAGAAATTGGCTTCACATATTGTCCCCATGTCGGGAATCGAACCCGGGTCTTTGGCGTGACGCTTAAACCACCAGGCTACCCGACCGCCCCCACTAATATAAACAGATATATGAACAACTGCATTAACACGTCATACTAAACATACACTGCCCGCTTGCATTGAAAGCTACATGAATATTCTAAAGGTCAGCTAATTGTGTAGCAATGGTGGCTACTGGACGCCGAGGCCGCTTCTACGACATGCATTGTGAGCTCCAAGTATATTCTTTATTGCTCGCTTTTTCTGAAACAATGGTTCGCCCACCTGTCGGGTCACAGCCAAACAGGAGGATGTGATGGACAGTGTCCCTGTTGACCAGTATAGGCTCCGTGGCCACTAGATGGTAGTCATCATCTACCGGAAGGTCAAACAGTTGGCAGTAGTAGGTTGTCTCCCTTGCCGGAACCCGTGTCTCTGGGAAGGTGAAGGACAGGTTTCGTGTAGCTGGAAGAGACAAGAAGCTTTTTGAAACAAAGAACGTTGTGGCGCTGATCAACATCGTTAGACAAGTATGTGGATAGCAACCAGCGTTTCTTCGGTTTCTTTAAAATTTAATTTTTTTTAAAGAAAACGATGAAATACCATGCAGTACCACTTTGATTCATGCAAACCTAGAGTGGTGTGTTACATATTGTATCGTAAATTAATAAAATAGATGTATATTATGTCCGCTATCTCGAAACAAATAGTTAAACAGAACTAAACATTTAATAACTTCATATATATACTCGTTCGCCCGGTTTCACTTGGAACGGAAACGGCAGTCCGGAGTCCTTGCAGGGACGGTATAACTCACATTGTTTCTTGATGACCGGGCAGTGGAGTTCATGGCTGCCACACTTGAGCCAACCGTTCCTGGCCTGGCACTGCACGGAGTTCCAGGGGTCACAGACACCTGCGGACCACAGACAAACATGTTGTTGTACAGGATAACTTAAAAATACTTCCCCTCGGTATAGTTGTGAAGATACCAACGGTTCTGGCTTGCATACGAGGGGCGTTCAATATGTTTTGCAACTTCAATATAAGACCAAGTCGCAGAATATCTTTTTTTTTTCAATCTTATCTCCATTCATTTCAATACAGGAAAAAGTCACTGGGGGATCAGTCTGGGCTGTACAGTTAAATCACCCACCCTACAGCCCAGAATTATCCGCCAGTGACTATTTCCTGTTCCGGCAAATGAAATCTGCCCTACGTGGAAGACACTTCCAGGATGACGAGGACATAGAGGCTGCCACAGAGGCGTGGTTAGAGGGCCAATCTGCGGATTTCTAAAAAAGTGGTATTAAAAGCTTGAAGGACAAATGGAATAAGTGAATGCAGATTATATTGAAAAATATAAGTGCAAAAGATATTCTGCGACTTGGTCTTATATTGAAGTTGCAAAACGTATTGACACACCCCAGTTCTCCCCAGTTATGTTTCTAGGTTTGTCAGCACCATACCCGTGCTCGTGGGTTTCACCGAATTGGTAAACGTCTGAGACCTGCATCACTTCGGGCTTTCCTCCCACATTAAGCTGACACGCCGTGATATAACTGGAATACTGTTAAAAGCGGCGGTAAACCCAACTCACTCACTCACTATTGATAGATTCGTGTCGTTGTATACAGTTATACATCTTTCGGTAACTTCATGGATGTGTGTGAGGTACCATCACTGTGAGGATCCTACGGAAGCGTCATAAAATCACACATCGCCGAGCAGAAGTTCTCAGTCTGTTTTTCTTCTGCTCAACTTTGGGTCTGTGGCTCTTACTGACAACCACAAGTCTAAGCAAATACCTGGGTTATGAATTCGACCTGTCTTTAAATATTTTATCTGGTGACAAGTTGAAACAATTTTAAATAAGATTTTCTTAAGTTCACATTATAATGAAGAAACCAATTCCAAGGACTCATGCCTTGCAACCGAAGATCAAAAACCGGGGTGAATTGATTTCCACATAAATATTTCGGCAATATAAAAAAGTGGAGTTAACTTAATTTGACTTGCAGGCTATTCAGGTTTGGAAAGTGTTTGCCAAATGGCTTTGTTTTCCTTGACTGCTCTGGCCTGCCGTAGCCGTGGGTCTATCCATTCCACAATGTGGCCAATATCCTGATGTCCGTAAAGCAATGAACCAAGGGTACGTTTTAACAGTGATTGTCATGTGTTCTTGAACTTTGTTACGTCTGATCAACTTGGTTGGTTATAGAAGTATGTACGTTCTTGTAGACGTCAGCCTCAGCACATATTTACTCTCGTTATATCACGACTTTTGACCAATTAGTTTCCTTAATAATAAATAAATTACTGTAATATATTAGCAGCTACAATTACTTAACATTTACATACTTAGCTGATCAGAGAATATAACTTTTATGGGGGATCATCCAAAAGTCAATTTTTAAAATTCAAAGATACTGTCCAGAAATCAAACAATATAAAAGCTCTGTACTGTTCTTCGACTAGTTGAGATAGTAACGCCACACAGAAAATCAACCCATTACTTCTATCACCTACACCATCATACACACAACCAGCTCGTTACTTCTGTCACCAACCGCCACACACACACAACCAACCCGTTACATCTGTCATCTACCACCACACACACAACCAGCTCGTTACTTCTGTCACCTACCACCACACATACAACCAGCTCGTTACTTCTGTCACCATCCACCACACACACACAACCAACCCGTTACTTCTGTCACCAACCACCACACACACAACCATCCCGTTACTTGTCACCTACCACCACACACACAACCAACCCGTTACTTCTGTCACCTACCACCACACACACAAACCATCCCGTTACTTCTGCCACCTACCACCACACACACAACCATCCCGTTACTTCTGTCACCTACCGTCACACACACACAACCAGCTCGTTACTTCTGTCACCAACCACCACACACACAACCATCCCGTTACTTCTGTCACCAACCACCACACACACAACCAGCCCGTTACTTCTGTCACCTACCACCACACACACAACCAGCCCGTTACTTCTGTCACCTACCACCACACACACAAAGAGCCCGTTACTTCTGTCACCTACCACCACACACAACCATCCCGTTACTTCTGTCACCTACCACCACACACACAACCAACCCGTTACTTCTGTCACCAACCATCACACACACAACCATCCCGTTACTTGTCACATATTTCAAAACCTGTAACGTCTGTCACATAACGCATGCGTTAGCTTCCCTTAGCAGGTACGTATGAATCACAATTATATAATCATGATACCAGGTGATCGCAAATGGGTGAGCGTATCCTGTCCCACCGGTGGCAACCGTCACAAAAACATGCAAAGGCAAGTCATCTGATAACCTGATAAAAAAAACGGTAACATATCGTACAAGTCAAAATAGGGAATTGCATCGGATATCATTTTGGTCTCGGATGCGTCAAATTAGGCATAATCCTCAACACCTCACCCATAATACTTTTTGAAAGTTTTATATGTATACTGTTGATACCAAATGCTAGAGCTGCTGGAATATTCCTCGACATAAGGGGAAATAAATTTTTTGAAAGTTGGAAGTCATGATCCGTCTTGTCCTACACCCTTGTGAGAAGTATTTCGTCACTCACCTTTATGCATATATCTAGATGTGAAGCCGATGAGGCGGTTTCACCGGTCTCTTGTTTTGTTTCAAGTTCAGGTGTATAAGTTTGTTGAATGGAATGGACTATTTCACAATTATTCAAAAGATATTAGAGCATCTGATATACCTGAAGTTTAAGTGAAACCTCTTGGCCCAATTCCCGCATTATATTTTTCCAATCCGAACAGAAATCCCGATTCATGTGTATGAAGAAACATATCTGCCAGGAGTGGAGCCAACTTGTGCCCATGATGATGCCTACTTCTTTCCTAAATGTCATACATATCCCCAAATGTCGCATAGATGTTTTCTTTGAGGAAGTCCTATAGTTCCCATATTGTTTCTCGGTAAACTTCAGAGGACATTTGCTTTCACTTTCGACAAATTGTCCTGAACCTTGCTGTGGTTATTTACACAGTGATCCAATCACATTATGGCTGGGGAGCGCGGCGTTAATAAAAAAACAAACAAACATATTTCTAAACAATGTAAAGAAATGAGTTGAGTTGTTTTCAAAAGGGTATAGAAGTTTCACCAGGTTTAAATGCATTCAGAGCATTAACGGCTGATAAAATGTAATTAGGATTTGTCTTAAATAATATTTTGGAAGCGGGGACTACTTCCGGTCTAAATGTGCCACCTTGGCAGGATTGTTGACAAAGACCTTTAAGTGCAGAGAATATATAGCGATTCCGGCAGGTTACCGCTGAGAAATGTGGATAAATCAGTACATGTCGTTGTAGGGAAGATATCTGTTGATGATGTTGCTGATGTGGCGATAAAGGAGCCAGCAGTGCGTGCAACGTCACACTGATCACATCGGCTTACGGTACTTAGATCGGTCATAACGTCACACAGCTGGTCAGTTATACAGACCTAACGTCATACTGGTCAGTCATACAGGCTTAACGTCACACTGATCACATCGGCTTACGGTACTTAGATCGGTCATAACGTCACACAGCTGGTCAGTTATACAGACCTAACGTCATACTGGTCAGTCATACAGGCTTAACGTCACGCTGATCAGTCATACAGGCTTAACGTCACACTGGTCAGTTATACAGACCAAACGTCACACTGGTCAGTTATAAAGGCTTAACGTCACACTGATCAGTTATAAAGGCTTAACGTCACACTGGTCAGTTATAAAGGCTTAACGTCACACTGGTCAGTAATAAAGGCTTAACGTAACACTGGTCAGTTATAAAGGCTTAACGTCACACTGGTCAGTTATAAAGGCTTAACGTCACACTGGTCAGTTATAAAGGCTTAACGTCACACTGGTCAGTTATAAAGGCTTAACGTCACACTGGTCAGTCATACAGGCTTAACGTCACACTGGTCAGTCATACAGGCTTAACGTCACACTGCCTATGCTGTTTTCTTTTATAAGTGCAATGTCTTCATTCCAATCTTTGGAGGACAAAGAACTGCCTTGATCAATCACAAACAGTGGAAGATACACAATTGTACAATAATACCCCGTCTATTCGTCCGACTAACTTTATAAGATGAAGAGAGTACATATTGACGGCGTATCAGGCTATCTTTGTCTGTTCAAGTTACACTGTGAGATGCAGAAATGTACGTCAATTCTTTGTCTGTTCAAGTAACACTCTGAGATGCTGAAATGTACGTATTGACGGTGTATCAGGCTATCCTGTATGTTCATTCGACGAACAGTGGGAGATAAAAAATAGGGCATACAGACGATGAATCATACTATCTTGTCTATTTACTAGAATTCTATCAGTAAAAACTGGAACAAGTTATATGCCCAAACAGATGAAAGAACAAATTGCTTCTTTTCATGCAGCGCTTGATACGCGGCCAATGGGTCATTTGAAAACTTTAGGAAGGATAGGTCTCTGTATTAGCTGTGTATGAAAGCAGAACCACCCAGTGTTGTAAAGAGAGATCCACGTACAACAGGGGTGTATTTATATATATGAAGACATACTGCAGTCCCAGGTCGCCAGGCATCTGCAGAGGGCAATTAAACATTACACACGGCCTCTTGTGAACATTACTGACTGATGTATTTACCAGCCCTCGAAACACGATCTCAGAGAAGTGAAATTAGATGTATATAAATTATTGGAAGAATCAACAAGATGACAGAGAGGCGGGACTGGCATCTATAGTCGAGTGTCACGTCGGACGTAATTACCCCATAACTGCATCCTGAAACACGTGTACGCTAATTAATATAATTATAAGTAAACTGTTTAATTACTAAGGTAACATAATATTTAGAGAAGCGGTGCTG